GCTTATGAAAATTAATAAAATATAATTATAGAAAAAAAAACAACAAAAAAACACAAAACCAACCCAACAAGCCCTCACAGATGCCTCAAAAACCTAAATATAAACTATACAGTTTATTAAGAGAAGGTGGGGGTGGAAAATAGAAGATCATCCGTTGGTAATTCTTTGCACAATTGATGGAAATTTGTCAGTCCTCACTTTAAGGAGGTCTGATTGTGAGGTGCCATTCAAATTCCCTTGGTCAGTTTTCTGCCACTAGAGATGAGAACTATAGATCAGTATGTTTTTTAGGATAAATGATTTTTTTACCAGCTCTCACCATGTAATCACAATAAACTCGGTGCCCATCTGTAAGGACCTTATCTTCCACTCCAGTCATGAAGAGCTTACATTTCCTACAGCATAAACTGGTTGGACAGCACTGGTTCTTTCTTAGACAAACTATCTGCTGGAAATAAATGTTTCCTTTTAAAATGACAAAAACACTTCTGAATTAATTTCAATATAAATGACAAGAGTGACAACAAACTCCCATAAAAAAAGTAGTGCTCTTAAGCTTTTTGAAAAAGTTGAAGACAGAAATACCATTTAATCCAGCAGTCCCACTACTGGGCATATATCCTAAAGAAATAAAAGTTGAAACATGAACAAATGTAGGCCCACCCACATTTACTGCAGCATTATTTACTCTGGTGGCCTAATGGGTAAGGAGTTGTGCGGCCAACCTAAAGGCAGGTAGTTTGAATTCGCCAGCTTCGGTTTGGGCGAAGGATGGGTATTCTCCTCAGTTGTGTTTTACAGCCTCTAAAAACCCACTGGAGGGTCAGCTAGGAGTGTGCTGTGACTTCACAGCAATGAATGAAGTTTTTTAGTTGGTTTGTAGTTAACAAACAGTTGGAAGCATCCTAAGGACTGTGATACATTCACACAACGGAGAACTTTGCAACACTAAAGAATGACAAAGGATTTGAGAAATCCTGTGTAATGAAGATAAGAGGACATTTTGTTGTAATGTGCCACCGAGTCACTATGCTTTGCTGAGTGAAATAAGTTAATCACAAAAGGACAAATATTGCAGAAGACCACTATTGTAAAAAGCTAAGGAAAGATTGACACATAGATAGAAACATTCTTTGATGGCTATCAGGGTCAGGAAGAGAGGGAGAAAGGGAATATAAATTAGTAAATAGTTCCTAGACACTTTTAATATGGTTGGAGGGAAAGGCAATCAATATACAATAAGTAGATGATCAAAAACTGTAGGTGTTACAGTCTATGTTATAAAACAAAAAGTGTGTGGATGGGTGATTGAATGAAAAACCAGCATGTTCTATAAACTTTCATCCAAGTCAGTCACAATAAAAAGAAAAACTAAACTGGGGTTGCTGTTGTTAAGTGCCGTCGAGTCATAATTGACTCATAGCAACCCTGTGAATGAAAGAAAGACCTGAACACTTGTATAACTTTCATCATTTGTCCAAGTTTCGGAAGTGTTTGCCACTCTTGCTTCCAAGCTTGATTTTTAATTAGGAACTCTATCAAACACTGTCCGCCATGGGTAACCATTATCACATTTGACACATCAAAATCACAGTATTCAGCATCACAACAACCACGAGTTAATTCTCTTAGGTTTTGCCTTGAATGAGCAAACTTGTGCCCAAGCCATTCTCTCCACACCTACCTCTTCTCCTTTGTAGCCCTCACCTCCACCCAGTTATTCAGTTAACAGTGCTAAAAGTTTACGCAGCCAAGATACACACTGTAAGAGCCAAATTGTTGCTTTTGTTAAATACAATAGAGCCAGAATCAACTGACCCACCCAGGTTTTCAGAGGCAGTAAATAGGCAGATTGTTTATCTTTCTCTGGCAGAGTTGCTGGTGGATATGAATGATATGCCTTCAGGTTAGCAACTAAACTCCTTACCGTTAAGTGAAAAAAGTTAGCTTATCCCATAAACCAAAAGATGACTCAGGAATATGCTGGTTCAGAGAGAGTCTCAGCTTACAATTTGCATTCAAGAACAAGAGTGGATACTGATTCTTACTTAGCTCACTTACTTCATGACTGCAGCCTGCCTCTTTGCTGTTCTCAAGAGCAGGGGATCCAGGCAGCTTCAGAAAGCTTCCTAGTCTGCTTCAACTCCGTGCTGACTCGATTTATAAAAAGGGTAGGCAGGACGATGATGCATCAGCTGGCTGCCTCCCCCCACCCCCCGCCCCTTTCAGAGTGACTGCCGTTATGAAAAGGAAATGGAAAGTGAAACTGATTCTAGTGAAATTGTTGAGAGGGAAAAGGAAACAAGTTTATTGCAAATGGAAAACAGTTCATTACAGGAGAGTGTCACAGAAATGTCCTTGACAAAATGCTACAGAAGGTTGTTAATTTACAAAGAAGCTGGATTTCATCTAAAACATTTGTGATTATTTGCAGAGCTTGGGGAGAGAGAGAATAATGCTATGGAAAGGACAGGGCTTTGTGGGTCCTCCGTCAACACCCT